AAATTAGCCAGGTGTAGTGGCATGTGCCTGTAGTCGCAGCTACTTGGGAGCTGAGGTGGGAGGATCACTTGAGCCCAGAAATTGAAGGCTGTAGTGAACTATGCCTATGCCATTGCACTTCAACCTGGGTGACACAGCAAGACTCCAACACTCAGTAAAAAAAAAAATAAAAAGAATAAATGTAAACAGCCTATATACAGAAAAAAATGTTCATTCTCACTGTTAGTCAAATAAATCAATATAAATGTGCTACCATTTTTCACCTATCATATTCACTAAGTTTTAAAATTTGCTTACTTAAAGCTTAGGTAAGTACAGTGAGATGGGATATGCTCTTGTTCTGCTACTGGGGGTGTAAAATGATATGACTTTCTTCTGGAAAAACAGTAACATCTTATAAAATAATGTATGGGGAAACCTTAAATATTCGTACATTTAGTCAGGGGTTGGCAAACTACAGCCCATAGATCAAATGTGGCCTGCAGCCTATTTTTGTATGACCCTACCACCACAAGTATCTCTTACATTCTTAAAGGGTAATGGGGAAGAACACAAATAAGAATATATGCTGGAGACTGTAAGTGGAACACAAAGTCTCCATTATTTGCCATCTGTCCTGTTACATAATTGTTATCTTTTGAAAGTAGCACTAACATATACATTATATTCATGGTCATTTTTTCTAGTCAGTTACGTAGGATAGAGAAAGGAGAGAGAAAGAAAAACTTTTTTATCCTGTGATCCACAGAATGGTAAGCCTCTTGGTAGCAGAAACTTTGTCTTGTTATTAAATACTTTTATCTTCCATGATTAGCACATTGTATGAGGAGTAGGAGTAGAGAGCTGGTTGCAGGATTTTTAATTAACCCAATGAAAAGTAAAGAGAAGATTGTCTAGATTAGCCTGAGGTATATATAACTGTGTGTTACGGTTCCTGGATGAGGCTGATATATTGGGCAAAATGATAGATTGAAAGATTTGAAAATCATGCTTTAAATCATATGTTCGTTTCTTGAATGTATGGAATGGAATGAGCAAATAGTAAAGGAAGGATGTCATAGAAATAGTATAATACCTGTCATTTACTTAGTGCCTTGTTTATGACAGGTGTAATACATATTATCTCACCTTAAAGTCATATTACAGGGCACACACGGTGGCTCACGCCTGTAATTGCAACACTTTGGGAGGCCAAGGGTGGTGGATCACTTGAAGTCAGGAGTTCAAGCAGCCCGGCCAGCATGGTGAAACCCTGTCTCTACTAAAAATATAAAAATCAGCCTGGCATGATGACAGGTCCCTGTAATTCCAGCTATTCAGGAGGCGGAGGCAGGAAAATCGCTTGAACCTGGGAGGTGGAGGTTGCAGTAAGCCCAGATCGTGCCACTGTACCCCACCCAGCCTGGGCAACAGAGTGAGATTCTATCTAAAAATAAATAAATAAATAAAATAAAAATAAAAAGTATATTATAGATGAAGCAGAGTTAGTGAATTGCCCACAGGCACACAATTACTAGATGTTAGAGGTGTGATATGAACAGTGTACTTTAAAAAAAAAAAAGCCAGCTCTAGTGTTACTTCCTTCTTTGAAGAAACCTTCTCTATAACTTCTGTCCACCTTTTACTACCTGGGTTAACTTGAGGCTCCTTCTTTGTTTTCATATGATACACAGTTGGTAACTGCAGTTTGGCATTTACTTATGGAATTATAATTGCAGAATACATTTGGAATTTGAGGACTTAGCATTATCTGATTCATCTACTCCTTCAGTAACTTGAAAGTTAAAAGGTGAAGGCCTATGGTGTGAATCACAGTGCAAGGCAGGTAGACCAGAGGGACTCACTCCTCATGAGTGTAAGCCCATCTCTTGAGGGTGTCAGATACTAGGCCAAATTGTCAAATGCCCAGACTTTTTATGTTTATCTTATCCAGTACCTAACTTATTCAACTTGGAATTCAGTGTAACACAGCTATGAGTGTGTGTTTATATTCAAGTAATTCATAGTATCTTTAAACCATAGGTCCTCTGCTGTACCACTTTGAAAATCTGGCAAATGAACTTTCCATAGAATTGAGCTATGAGGATATAAAAAACGTTGTTCTGCAGTATGGATTCAAGGTAGAGGTAAGAATGGAATAAAATATTGCCGAAGTTTAACTCCCAAAGCACCTTGACAGAAGTGTTGATATCATGGCTGTTAGTGACTATTTGAATTCTGTTTTCTTATCTATAAAGGGAAGATAACACAGGTTGAGTACCCCTTACTCAAAATGCTTGGGACCAGAAATGTGTTGGATTTTGGATTTTTTTCCAATTTTGCAATATATGCATATACATAATGACATATCTTGGGAGGGGACTGAAGTCTAAATATGAAATTCATTTATGTTTTATATATGCCTTATAAGCATAGCCCAAAGGTAATTTTATACAATATTTTAAAATTTTGACCACCTGCACATGAAGTCAGATGTGGAATTTGTCACTTGTGGCATTATGTAGGTACTCAAAACATTTTGGATTTTGGAGCGTTTCAGATTTTCAGATTAGGGATGCTTGACCTGTGTTACTTAGCTTCCAGAATTATAAGGATTTGGGATAACGTGTACATAAAGGGAAAACTATACTTTCTGGTGAAGTAGCCTTTCAGTAAATGGTAGCTGATCATTATAATACTGTTCTTACAGACTCTCACTTATAGATAGAAAGTAGAGTAGGCTCTGGGGAAAACAAAAAGGGGCGGGAGGGCAAGTGTAAGAGGGATATTCACAATATGTCCTTGTCCTTGTGTACTGCTTCATCTTTTTTTAATTATGTGCATTACTATAAAGTTTTGTGATATTTTGGCTATTGTGTTTCAGTTCATTTATTTAGAAGCCTTCCATTTTAGAAACAATAGATTTGTTTTTAAGAATGACGAGAAGCAATATATTATAGTAGTTCAAAGTTCAAGACTGCCAGAGTTTGAATCTTAGTTCCGTCACTTATTAGTGTGACTGTTCTTTGTAAAGTGAGACTACTAATATTAATAGTACCTCTCTTATGGGGGTAGTTGTATGTAATAAATGAATATGCTTAAAATAGTGCCTGCCACTGATACATATGTGCTCAGAATTTGTTAGTGGTGTGGTCATCATGACTGTCATAGTCAGTATTATGATTATTGTTTGCATTGCAGGTGGAAAAAGAATCTGTATTGTCAACATATACTGTGAATGATCTCTCTATGATGAAATACTACTATGAATGTGTCTTGTTTGTGGTCCGTAAGCCACAATAATGGTCTCAAGTGATACCACCTGGAAAAAAGTTTAGTAAGAACAAATGCTGAAATAAACGACTCAAAATCAACTATCAGTGATGACAGGACACAACCTCAAATCAGTGGTGCCTTCTTATTCCTAACAAAATTTAGAAATAGTGTCTATTTTCTTAATATGTCTATTGCTTTTTCAGAAATATACTATGCCATGCAGATTTGTACTACACAAGTAAAAATGGAGGAAATGTCTTGAAGTATACTTTTTCCTTGAAGCCCAGATTGTGTTTCAGTAGGAAAAAAACCTAATCTCCAGTGTCTTCATGATGCTATCCATTGCAAGTCTGCCGTATTAATGACTAATAGTATTGAAGTCCATAATAATCTTCCTTTTTTTGTTGTTTTGTATGCATTGCACATGTAACTTTTAGAAGAGTCTAAGGATCCTCAGTCATATTCAACATCTGGAGTTGGGACTTTGTTCACTTTCAATCTAAGAAAACTACGCGTAAAATGTGTCTTTTTTTTTTTTTTCTTCAGAGACAGGATCCTGCTCTGTCTCCCAGGCTGGAGTGCAGTGGCACGATCATAGCTCACTGTAACCTCAAACTCCTGGACTCAAGCAATCTTCCTGCCTTAGCCTCCCGAGTAGCTAGGACTATAGGCATGTACCACCGCGCCTGGCCTGTGTCTATTCTTCTATCATTCAGATTAATTTAATTTTGTATTTTCTAGCTCAGATGAACTTAAAGAAGCATCAAACATTTCTTTTTTATGAAATGTTAAATTTAATAGCATCACAGGCCGATAAAATATATTCAAGTAACTGAGAAATTATCAAAGTCTTTTGGCCACAATAAACTGAACACTTTATGAAAGCATACTCATCATGGATCTCAACATTCAAAGTGAGAAATAAAAAGCCTTTATTAAAAGTAGTGCTAGGAAACAGAGAAAATAAGAATAAAATTTACCCATTTGAAATATATGATTTTCAGACTCTAAATGAATACAGAGTTTGACAGTGTGATGTTTACAATAATGTCTTTTCTTTAGATTATTTGGATTATGAAAGCAAGCACTTTTTTCATTAAAACAATTATATACTAGGAAAAACTGTCATAATAGTATTAATGTGGGGAATTTTGATTATGAAATTCAGGGATAAATTACTGCCCATTGTCTGTGTCTTCAATATTGTAAGCAGCAGCCATCATGTAATTTCAGATTAATGCCAATTTTGTTCCCTGATAGATGGAGCTTAAACAGTATATGCTGCTTTAAATTTCTACCTCTAGCAGATCTTTATTGGAGGGAGTTTTCCTTTGTATTTTTTAATGTATGTTATTCTGTTTCCAGTAGCTTGGAAAGTAGAGATGACTAATGTTTTAGCCTTTTCTTGGAGAAAAGGAAGAACTCTTCTTGAATATTTTCACAGATGATTGTGATTGCTTTAAATGACCTCTGTGGCAATTTAAATTAGATGGATTTAATCTCAGTAATGTGCTGGTCGCATAAAAGTCATGTTTTAATAGGAAAACTTACTTGTAAATGTTTAGACCTTTGTTGTCACTTAGGCTAGGGAGTCACTACCCTATTTGGCATCTTACTAGTTGGGGGGACCTTTTCCGTGTACAGTGATGGGACTTTCGTGACCTTTACTCTCACTATGCAATAGAGGGTTTCATGCAGTTGATTTGACATGTCAAAATTGGGAAAACTGTTACTTTTTTTTTTTAAAGATATCTCTTTTTTGTGTCCCTCAGTACTTAGCAGATGTTCATTTGGTGGAAATTCTTATTACTTACATGAATGAGTTTGAATTTAGTGGCAAGGAAGAAAAAAACTCAAACTATTGTTTTTAAAGAAGAAAACTTGCAAAGTACATAAGTATTTTTTAAAAATCAATTGAACAGAAAGGAATGCATGCTGTTTTTGAATGACTTAGACATGCTTTTTATTCACTGACTAGTATACACTTTTTTACAACTTGTATCAAAACAAATGATCTTTGTTTTTGTCACAGGCAAAAACAGGTTGACACTGGTGGGTTGGCTTTATTAATTTTTTTTCTATTAGGTTTTCTTTAATAATGTTACATTTCTAAATTATAGCATATGTTTTAGTTAATTCTGAAATCAGTTACTTCATTTGTTAATTTATCCCTTGTATCATGAATATTGTTTTTTAAATGTTCTATACAAATTTGCATCACTTTTTTTCTTACAGCTTTTGCAGTTAATATATTCTAAACTTGAAAATGTGGTATCAATCAGTAATAGAAGTATCACTGGAGGATTTATTTAACTTTGTATTTCTTAATTTTAGTCCTAGCTACTAAAGTATGTAAGCCTTAAAGTTTAAAATGTTTTTCTTAAATTAGCTGTATACACATACATTTTCATTTACTTTGTGAAATGCGAGGAGATAGTCCATTGTGCTTGTGTTTTTTTCTTTAATTTCCATATTCTGAAGCAGTGCAGATATAGGGTATGCTAATCAAGTGAGCAAGGTGGAATATGTACAATATAAGGAGAAGCTGTATAAATCACAGTATAAAATTATGAAGTTTGGTAACTGTAAAATGTACTGTATTTATATGTAACTCTCATTCTAAAAGTTGCCACAAAAGCTGAATTGGAAGCTTCATGTCTGCATGAAATTTCCTATATTTTTAATGTGTATGATGAAATTAATTTTTCTTGAATATTAAAGTCTGCCAATTGCTACGAAACGATAGTTGCTTGGTTGTTTTCATCTAAGTTAGTGTAACCATAGATGTGGGGATTTTAATGAGTTGAGCATGTATACTTTTGAACTCTTGGATTAGCCTGTTTTTATATGCTTCTAGGAAGTCAGTCATATGAATACTTGGTCTTATAATATACCAGGCCTTATACTAATTATTTTCACTTTGTTTCATTCAGGTTCACCGTAGTAAAGTTAGAATCCACTGAGGAAAAGGAATAATCTTGATTTTCAGTTTTGTTAAATAACAGAAAAAGAATTCTATAAAAGGAACTAGAAGAAGAAAGTTACAGGACCAGCCATTAGTGGGATGAGCACTTAGATCTTCTGGGTTCATTTTCCTGAATGATTGTGATCTCAGGCAAGCCACTCTTGGCTTGTTTCCTCATCTGTAAGAAAGGATTGATACCATCTATTTCAGATAGTTTATTAGGTCATATGAGCTTTTATATATATTTTTGTGTGTATGAAAGCACATGATAGACAGTTACCATAAATGTAATTTCAGTCTGTGTTGACTGCTATCTAGTGATGGAAAAAATGAGGATTGTTAACAGTACATTTTAATTATCTTATGGTGACCCTTTGAAAAAGGTTTCCGTGGAATCCTGGGGAAAACAGTAAAAAATGGTAGGTACAGACACAGATTCCAAAAGTTTGTTGGGAATTATAATGAAACATATAGTAGGTAATGGGAGAGGGTATAATTAAAATTTAATGGCATGTTACTCCCACTTTTATTAACCTGCTAGCACATCCTTCTTATATATGTTTGATTCTTTCTCTTTGATACCTATTTAGATGTGGGATCTTTCAGTCAGTGTATATGTGCATTTTCAGTTAAAAGTTGCCTTTCAGAAGGGACTGCACCAATTTACATGCCAGGAACAGTGTTTAAAAGTAACTTACATCCATTCCCTGGCCAGTACTGGGTATTGCTGAGCTTTTCATTTTTGTCAGTACAGACATACCTCATTTTATTCTACTTTGCTTTATTGCACCTTGCAGATACTTTTTTTTTTTTTTTTTTTTTTTTTAACATATTGAAAGTTGGTGGCAACCCTGCATCAAACAAGTCTATATTGGTGTCATTTTCCAACAGCATGTGTTCATGTCATGTCTCTGTGTCAGCATTTTTTAGCAATCAAGTATTTTAAAATTAAGTATGTACATTGTTCTTTTAGACAAAATGCTATTGCACATTTAATATGCTACAGTATATTGTAAACATACTTTTATATGCACTGGGAAACCCCAAAATTTGTGTGACTGTCTTTATCATGATGGTCTGGAACTGAGTCTGTAGTATCTCCAAGGTATGTCTGTATAAGAAGTGTTATCTAATTTGAATATTCATTTACTTAATTGTTGGGAAAGTTAAGCAATTTCTCTGAGTTTGATGGCCAAAGAAAAGTGTTTTTAATCTGCCAGTCTATATGATTTAATGTGGCAGACCTGACAGGTCATTGGCAACAGCTCCAAACCTAATTAAAACATAGTGAGGTTCATCAGGGAGAGTATTGGCCACAGCCATCAGGACTGTCTTGAGTTCTAGTAATTGAGAGGAGCAGCCACATCTGCTTTTGGTTTTACATAGCTGGCACTGAAGCTGAACAGCAGGAGCAGCTCATTGGACTCCATTATGTTTCATTGTAGCCAAACAATTCGTGAAGTAGGCCCAGAAATTTAGGGGAAACTAAGTCAAGGGCCCCACTGAACCAATGGGATTGCTTTGTGCAGTGGAGTTGGCCGTACAGTTTACCTCCAAAAGGATAGCTGCCGTTTTTTCATGTAGGAACAAAAAGCTGCCACGGTCAGGCCAGCTATGCTATTTCTCTTTGACTAGCGAGGCTTGTTAGATTCTTTTCACCTTGTTAGTCATTAAGTCCAACCACCACGAAATGGGGATGTCAAGCCAAAGAGTCACAAGAGCTACGTTAAATCACATTAAGTTTCAACAAAAGCTTAGCAGGTTAATAGCTGCCTTCTATTGTTAACATATAAAGATGTATGTGGTGGCTGGGTCAGGCAGCTGTTGCGATTGTTGGTATTGAGCTGTTGCCTCTCTGAGTACTCAGGCAGCCATTAAATCTTTGAAACTTCTCCTGGAGGCCTATATTACTTATACTGGACCATCCGGGGAGGGGGGTCAGTCTGTGTAGTATTCCTTGAGAGAGAGATGGAATAAGATACAGACCAAGAAGTGCAGGCATAAAATCCATGAATTCTATTATACATATATTGAATCTGTCCAAAGAGCCCTGGTGACATTATTTTTGAGGGGTCCAGCTCCTCGTCAAAAACTTGGGGGCTGGGATAGGACAGAAGGGAGTTGGCGCTTCCTCTAGTTTAACCTCTTGCTATTTCAGTAAGTGATTAAAGCTTTGACTGTTCAAACTGCCAGCTCAACTCTCCCTGGCCCCTAACAATTTCAGGTTTCCTTCCCCACTCCAAGCCTTGTCCAAACCCTATCAGTTGAATTAAGGTGACTTTTTTCCTGTAGGAACACAGACCAAGAAGTTTAACATGCATCAGGTGCTACAGCACAGATGCCAAAAGATCAGGTTATCCCCCAGCTGGGAGTTCCAGGTGGCAGAGGAAGCTAGTCTACAATGACAGAAGGAGCCATGGTGGTGGGGAATAGAGTTCATTTGCTCATAATTGTTATATCCACGCAATTGTCGTTAGTATACCTGAGTGTTTATGCTTACAAAAAAAAGTGTTGCCTATTTCATTGTGTGAAGTGGCCTACAAAGTGTTCTCTTGTGTTTTTATGTTTCCCAGTGGTGGTGGGGAAGAAATTTGATTGTCAGCGTTTTTTTCCATTGACCACTGTCTCCAGGTTCAGTGCCTGAGCACTGCTGCTACTTCTTCCCCCATCTATCTCCAGCATCCAATGAGTGTCCAGCTTCTAAGACCCCTTACTTTGGTGCTGATCATAATCTCAAAATACATAATCCTGAATGTCAAAATCCTGAAATAACAAAATCTTTAAGGTCTAAAGTCCCTAACATCTAAAATTTCAATAGATTAAAATCTTTGAAATTCTGTGAGACAAATTCTGGGGAAGGGATTAATGTGTTTTCAGTTGTATGCAGTGTACTTGCATCATGACAGGCAGAACTATTACCTTGTTACTGTCTTTACTAGGAAATTACGGTTTAAGGAGATTCGTATGGGTGCCAAGTTGACAAGAAGTAGACTTGGGGACATAATTTTAGGTGGCAACTTGCTGGATTAAGGAATACTAGAAACCTAGTAAGACATTATTTTCAGTGTATCTGTGAGAGTCTTTCTAGGGGAGACGTGTATGTGAGTCTCAGTGGACTAAGTGGGAAAGATCTGTCCTCATGTTGGCAGGGGCCATCCACTCAGCCAGGGGCCTACAGAGAACCGAGAAGGCAAATTAGTCCCTCTCAGAGCTGGGACAAATTTTCTGTTGCTGCCTCGGACATCAGAAATCTGACACCACAAAGTACATTATCACAGCATTTACTGTGTGTAAGCATTGTGCATGTATGTAAAAATGTAGAAACTTCCTCAATAAAGGAAGCGATGTACTCTTTATATGTCTGCATTTGTCAAAGATAAAATTTCTGAGAATCTTGGCTCTTTGGGCTACTGTGTATGTGGTGGTGACCCATTGAAGGTTTTTTTTGGGGTGTGTGTGTGTGTGTGTGTGTGTGTGTGTGTGTGTTTTGTTTTGTTTTTAAGACAGAGTCTTGCTCTGTCGCTCAGGCTGGAGTGCAGTGGCACCATCTCAGCTCACTGCAACTTCTGCCTCCTGGGTTCAAGCGATTCTCTTGCCTCAGCCTCTCAAGTAGCTGGGACTACAGGCACCCACCACCACACCTGGCTAATTTTGTATTTTTGTAGAGACAGGGTTTCACCATGTTGGCCAGGCTGGTCTTGAACTCCTGACTTCAGGTGATCCGCCCATGTTGGCCTCCCAAAGTGCTGGTATTGCAGACGTGAGCCACCATGCCCAGCCAAGTTTTGTTTTTTGTTTTTTTGTTGTTGTTTTCTTTTGAGATGGAGTCTTGCTCTGTTGCCCCAGCTGGAGTGCAGTTTTCATGATCTCGGCTCACTGTAATCTCCACCTACTGGATTCAAGCAATTCTCCTGCCTCAGCCTCCTGAGTAGCTGGGATCATAGGTGCCTACCACCATGCCCGGCTAATTTTTGTATTTTTGGTAGAGATGGGGTTTCACCATGTTGGTCAGGCTGGTCTCAAACTCCTGACCTGAAGTGATCTGCCCGCCTCGGCCTCCCAAAGTGCTGGGATTATAGGGTAAGCCACTGTGCCCGGCCCCCCATTGAAGTTTTTGATTGATCTCATCAGAAGACTTATGTTGTCTATCACAGTATTTCAGATGACTGCAGTTATAAAGCTGGGTGTATGCTTTTATATATTTAGCTTTTTCACCCATTTCTTTGTGAATACAGTTCATCTGCTCATAATTGTTATATCCACGCAGTTGTCATTAGTATGCCTGAGTGTTTATGCTTGCAAAAAATGTTATTTCCTATTTCATTGTGTGAAGTGGCCTACAAAGTGTTCTCTTGTGTTACGTTTCTCAAATAAATCCCCTTTTAAAAATGTATATAAATGTTTTTGAGATAATTTTTAAGATTTTTTTCCCTACATTATATTTTCAAGATTTTGAGATTTTGGGATTGCAATTTTCTGGATTTTTAGACTTCAGGGATTTTGATCTTTCAGTATTTCAATATTTGAGATTATGGCATTCAGAATTGTTTTTCAGGATTACGGTCCAAACTTCTTTTCTGTCCATGCTCACGCCACTGTGTTCTGCCCTGCAGTCTTCCAGCTTTGACCGCTCCAGCACCCAGAGCCCTGTCCTCATTATAAGCCAGGTTGGACTGTTGACAGGAACCAGGTGTTTGGCTTTATACTATTAGGCAAGGCATTTCCTTCACTCACTTTTAAGTGGCCACCCATGCTCAATTCAAACAAATTAACTTCTGTTTTCAGGTCACTCAAAGCTCTATATTAAATACTGAAGCCTTCATTCCTGACAACGTTAATTTACCTTTGAGGACTCTCCACCTCAGCAGTCACAGCCATACCGCCTTTTAGCTGGTACCATGGGACTTGCTGCTCTGTTGTCATAACATTTCTTCTTTCTGCCTCGAAGAGAGTGAGCAACAATGAAGTTATTATTTGGGTAACTTATTTCAGTCCTGCTTCTAGCAGCTCAACATATAAACAGGAAGAAGTAGGGTCTCCTGCCAACTGGGCAATAGTATTCATTACTGGATCTTGGGAGTCTTATTTTCTTGAACTGGCCTGCAGATCCTTGTCCTTCCTAATCCAGAAATCCATGTCTGTCAGCATCCTTCCTTTCTCAACAAAATTGCTAAGTCTGCTATTTGAGTTTACCCTATTTACAATCTAATGTGTTAGTCTGTTTCCTAGATGCTGGTAAAGACATGAAAAATTACACAAATAATACAGAGAGTTCTATTCTCATCCAGCTTCCCCCAAAGATAGCATTTTAAGTAACCATATTATTAAAACCTTGAAGTTGACATTGGTACAATACTATTACTAAACTGTTGATAGACCTTGTTTAGAGTTTACCAGTACTTGCATGCACTGTTTTTTTTTCCTTATTTTTTCACTTTTAACCTACCTTAATATTTAAAATGGGTTTCTCATTAATAGCACATACCTTGGTCTTGCTTTTTAAATTTTAATTAATGCATAGTATTTGTACATATTTATATAGGGCACATGTGATATTGTTACATGCATAGAATGTGATGATCAATTTAGGGTATTTGGGGTATCCATCATTCCTATATATTAGGAACATTCCAAGTCCTCTCTTCTAGTTATTTTGAAATATATAATACATTGTTGTTAACTATAGTCACCCAACTTTGTATCAAACATTAGAACTTTAACTGTGTGTTTGTACCCATTAACCAACCTCTCTTCATAGCCACTCCCACCCATATGCCCTTCCCATCCTCTGATAGCTATCATTCTACTCACTACCTCCATGAGGTCAACTTTCTTAGCTCCCACATATGAGTGAGAACATGCAGTATTTGTCTCTCTCTGCCTGGCTTATTTAATGTCCTCCAGATCCATCCATGTTGCCGTAAATGACATGATTTCATTCTTTTTTATGACTGAATAGTATTCCATTGTGTACGTAGACCACATTTCCTTTGTTCATCTGTTGATGGTCACTTAGGTTGATTCCTTATCTTTGCTGTCAGTAGAGCTGTCAGAAACATGGGAGTGCATGTATCCTTCTGGTATACTGATTTCCTTTGGATAAATGCCCAGTAGAAGAATTGCTAGGTGGTATGGTAGTTCTATTTTTAGTTTTTTTCTCTATTGTTTTCCATAGTGGCTGAACTAATTTACATTTTCACCAACAGTTTGAGTTCCCTTTTCTGTATATCCTCACCAGCATCTGTAATTTTTTGCTTTTTAACAATACTTATGCTAATGTAAAGTGAGACCGCATTATGATGATTTATTATTATTGCATCAGTCAACCTTTAATGTTCAAAAAAGGCATGGATGCAGAGCATAGGAGATGTGGCAGGGTCTCGGGCCTTGGTCCAGAAATGAGGGAGAGATGAACACAAACCAGACACTTTCAACTGGCCACACAGTCTGGGAGGGCAGGGAGAAACAGATTTGGACATTCATAAAAAAATAAAACCTAAAATCAAGCACTCCATTTTGTGCCCATTGAAGAGTTTGATATAGGAAACTCAGTCACCACCCTGGAGACTGGAGGGGAGATCCCCCCTCCCCTGCCAACATCAAAAAGCAAGCTTGGCACACACAAAGGGCTTAGGGAGGGGCATTCTGCCTCCCCACCAGCCCCAAGAAGGGACTTGAAAATAAAAGAATAAGCTGGATCCCCTACCCCTACATTGTCAACCCTACACATGAGAGTTTTGAAGGCCAGCCAACTAACGACAGGGGCTGCTCTAAGAGAACACCAGAGGAATGAGAAAATGGAGGGCTAAGCAGGAAGCAGACAGGAGAAAAATGTAATGGAAAAAAAAAAAAATTCAAGCTAATCCTACCCCCAACATCCTCCTATCATGATCTCAGGCAGGAAGAACAAAAGAAGGTAATCCACAAAGACACAGCCCTTACTTAGAATTTCTGACAGACAGCAAGACAAGTCTGCTCCCCACTCCCACACACCACACACAGACACATTTCAGGCACCCTAAAGAACGCATCCCCACCCCACCCTCTGCCCCAAGCCATAGAATCACAGTTCAGTGGAATATTCTCCTGGTGTTAGATCAATCCCTCCACTTTCCTTCCTATCCTTTTCTCCTTGACAGTCCCACCACAGTCCCCCTGCAGCCTCCTGGCCCTCCCAGCATCCACCTGGGCCAGGAAGAGGCAGCTGCACAGTTTTAGTTCCACCTCCAGAGACCTATTTCTTTTCCTCAGCCCTCCTAGTCTTTTGGCCTCGTAGTCTGTTGAGGGCTTTTTCTTTTGTATAGGGAAAAAAAGAGAAAAGGGAGAGGTGGGAGAGATTTTCCTAGTGCAATACAACCAAAAAATATTTTTAAAGTATTGAAAAACAAATATAAAGCAGCCTTCTTCCCCAGGCAACTGAACAGAAAGGTTTGGTTGTGTTGACTGCCACATACACATGAAAACGAATATACAGTCCATGCAGTAGCACAGCCATTGGAGAAGACATCCTGATGTCCTGATTTGCCCCAGTGCAAAACAGTCCTAGCAACGCCCCCTGCTTGCCATCGCTGCCACCGCCACTGACATCTTCACTGTGGCCACCTAGCCTGACTTGAAGAGGAGGATTGCAACTTGACTCAAGTAAAAATAGATGAGGTGCTTTGTCTTGTGTGTGACGTAGCTGCCAAATTTCGGCCCACGATACAATGCCAGGTAGGGCTATATTTCTTGTCAAATTCCTTCTTGATATAGGCTGCAATGTCCTTCTCTATGTTGTACTTCTCCATGGCCTGCGTGGCGCAGTCAATGACATCCTGTTGCATATCCTCAGACGTGTCTGCGGTCTTGATCACTGCCTTCCAGTCAGACATCGTGACACTTCACGGAGGCGAGTCCGCACGGGCCCATGGGGAGCAGCGATGGCCTAAGGCAGAGCGCAGGCAGCGGCGGTGACTCCTGGGCTCCTCCTGCAGCCACTGCCACTACGGTCTCCCGCTCCCGCAGCCCCGGGCCAGTCGCTACCCGCCACGGTCCGCCCTTGGAGTTGCCCGCGCGGCCTGCCAGCCTGCCCGGTCCGCGCTGGCGCCGCACAGCTATGCTCTGCTCTGCCGCTCTCTTTTTATTTTGTTTTTAGATGGAGTCTGGCTCTGTCACACAGGCCGGAGTGCAGTGGCGCGATCTCAGCTTACTGCAACTTCCGCCTCCCGGGTTCAAGCGATTCTCCTGCCTCAGCCTTCCAAGTAACTGGGACTACAGGTGCACGCCACCACGCCTGACTTATATATGATATATAGTATATGTTTATATGATATATAAGCATATGTTTATATATATTAATATATAATGCTATATGATATATAGTATATAATCTGTATTACATATAATCTAGATTATATATTATATAATATACAAATTATAAATATTAATCTGTAATATTAAACTAAATTTATTATATAATTATATGTAATATAAGTATATATAATAGATTATATTATATATTGTAGTTAACATATTATGATATAGCTTGATATTATAATATGTTTATATATAATTATAACTATATTTATATATAATTTATATAAATATAGGCTTATGATTATATAGCTGTTTAATATAGGCTATATTAAATATTATGTAAACATTGTTATATTTTTTAAAAATATATAGTTTATATATATATGTATTTTTTTTTGAGAACAAGAGTCTCCCTCTGTCAACCCGGGGCTGGGAGGTCGCAGGTGTGCCGACCTCAGCCCACTGCCAGCCCTCTGCCCTCCCGCGGTTCAAAAGCGCATTCCTCCTTGCCTGCCTCAGCCTACTGAGTAGGGCCTGGGGGATTACAGGCCCCACCATGCCAAAACCCCAACGGCCCAGCTAATTAATTTTGTTGTTATTTTAGTAGAAAAGACGGGTGTCCACCATGTTTGGTTTTTCCAGGGCCTGGGTCCTCCAAAACTTTCCTTGAACTCGTGAAGTAAAACCTGGGCGGGCCCCTCGGGACCTCCCAAGGGTGCTGGGATTTTACCAGGGCCGTGAAGCCGCCACTGCGCCCCCCCGGGCCTTGTTTTGTTAATAGAGGAAGGGGTTTTCGGGCCCCATGTTGGGCCCAGGCTGGTCTTGGAACCTCCTGGCCCTTCATGATCCAACCCCACCTCCAGCCTCCCCCGAAAGTTCTGGGATTACGCAGGCGTGAGGGGGCCAACCGGCGCGCCCAAGGGCCCTCAGGGATATTGACTTTTGGCGTCGTGATGGAAGAGTTTGAGCTTTTCGACACCCAGTTTTCCCCGGTTGACCAATTTGGATATGTTCTTCTTTTAAGAAATGTGTATCATAGACATTTACAGAACTCCCCACCCCAAATAAACAGAAATATACATTCTTATTAGCACATCGCACTTATTTCCTAAAATGACCATCATAAGTTGGAAGTAAAGACACTCTCAGCAAATGTAAAAGAACAGAAATCACAACAAACTGTCTCGTCCCAGACCCACAGTGCAATCAAGTGTAGGGAAGCTCAGGATTAAGAAAACTCATTGTCAAAACAACACAACACACGTGGAAACTGATAGCACTTTACTCCTCGAATGACTTACTGGGTGTAAATAATCAAAATGAAGGGCAGAAAAAAGAGTTCTTGAAACAAGGATGAACAGAAGACACAATGTACCCAAGGAATCACTGTCGTGGGACCATTTAAAGCAGTGTTTCTAGGAGGGAAATAATGTTATTAGCCTAAATGGCCCACAAGAGAAAGCAGGAAAGATCTAAAATCGACACCCTAACATCACAATTAAAAGAACTAGAGAAGCAAGAGCAAACAAATTCAAAAGCTAGCAGAAGGCAAGAAACTAAGAGCAGAATTGAAAGAGATAGAGACACAAAAAATCTTTCAAAAAAAAAATGAATCTAGGGGCTGGTTTTTTGAAAAGATCAACAAAAATGACAGACTGCTAACAAGACTAATAAAGAAGAGAGAAGAATCAAATAGATGCAATAAAAAAATGATAAACAGGATATCACCACCGATCCCACAGAAATACAAACTACTATCAGAGAATACTATAAACACCTCTACGCAAATAAACTAGAAAATCTAGAAGAAATGGATAAATTCCTGGACACATACACCCTCCCAAGACTAAACCAGGAAGAAGTTGAATCTCTGAATAAACCAATAACAGTCTCTGAAATTGAGGCAATAATTAATAGCCTACTAACCAAAAAAAGTCCAGGACCAGACGGATTCACAGCCGAATTCTACCAGTGGTACAAAGAGGAGCTAGTACTATCCTTTCTGAAACTATTCCAATCAATAGAAAAAGAGGGAATCCTCCCTAACTCATTTTATGAGGCCAACTTCATCCTGATACCAAGCCCTGGCAGAGACACAACAAAAAAACAGTTTTAGACCAATATCCCTGATGAACATCGACGTGAAAATCCTCAATAATATACTGGCAAACCGAATCCAGCAGCACATCAAAAAGCTTATACGCCACGATCAAGTCGGCTTCATCCCTGGGATGCAAAGGCTGGTTCAACATACGCAAATCAATAAACGTAATCCATCACAAAACAGAACCAATGACAAAAACCACATGATTATCTCAATGGATGCAGAAAAGGCCTTCAACAAAATTCAACAGCCCTTCATGCTAAAAACTCTCAATAAACTAGGTATTCATGGAACGTATCTCAACATAATAAGGGCTATTTATGACAAACCCACAGCCAGTATCATACTGAATGGGCAAAAACTGGAAGCATTCCCTTTGAGAACCTGCATAAGACAAGGATGCCCTCTCTCACCACTTCTATTAAACATAATGTTGGAAGTTCTGGCCAGGGCAATCAGGCAAGAGAAAGACATAAAGGGTGTTCAATTAGGAAATGAGGAAGTC